TCATTTCATTAAACCCATTTTTTTATTTTAAATAAGTGGCAAGAAAAGGCGTGGTTTAATGTTTCTTTCAACTCTACTCAAAAACATTTTCGTCTAAAGTCTATTTAAAAACTTTCCGTCTGATACCCACATTGTAGTGTTAAAAATCACACATTTTTTATAACCTTTTTTTAGCTTTTTCGGAAGGTGGCAACCCCGCTACAAAGTGTTTTTTGTAAGTCTCTTAAAACGATATTTGTTTTAGTGTAGAGATTGTGGCAATTAAATAGTTTGAAAATTTTGGATAGCTGGCAACCCTTTTTTCAAAATTTGTTTCCACAAACTTTCTACAAAAAAAAAACGAGTGCAATGGATACGTTTAAAGTTATTAAAACTACAAAAAATTTCAATATACACGATTTCTCGGATATCACGGATTTCAATACCTAGGATATTAAGCTACGCCAAAAGAAATATTATTTTTTATCGTATGCAACTAATTTTGGCCACTTTATTCCATCTCTGTACCACTGTGCGATGTTGCCTGTTCCGCAGCAAAAATGCCACTTTAGAAAAAGTAATAGCTCGTAGTTTAAAAAAATATATTTTCAAAGGATGCCGTTCGTTTTGTTACATTAAAACTAACAATGTTTACCTACAACTTCAGGCACTTAAACCGATTAACTATTGTGTGGCATGCAATAAATAGGCATCAATCAAAATTTTAGAGTAATGCACTTGACTACAACAACATCAGGTCACATAATGCCCATCTGTATGCAAGGATGTTGAATGGCAGCAACTTCTGACGCAACAAATACCAAGTTTTACAACTCCACATTTTCGCTTTACACATTTCATTGATGTGAAATCACAAAAAGACTGTTACTTTTGGACAAGTCTACTTTTGTAGACACAGTTTCAATATTATTTTGCTAATTTTCATGCACTCATTGACGTCTCATTGTCACAATGTGCCGGCAAGCGATTGTGCATTATGCTGGCTGTATATCAATGAGAAAAAAGAAAAAGAATATAAAAAAAACAGAATGAAAGGAATAAACAGCATTGACCCAACTTTCTTTGCCAGCAAGCGGCATTATTTTCCTTAACATAGCCTATCCATTTATGAATGTCTACAATGCACGTCAACCTAGAGCTGTTTCACAGGTGTATCTGTTGCCTACTTTTTGCTCATTTGTGACACTTTTTTTGTTTTGTCAGTTGTTTGGGTTTTTATTTCTTTGCAAAAAAAACAATCACTTGTTTATTTGTTTATATGCACAGCGGCTTGTTTGGCATGCATTTAAGCAATGACTTTGTACTTGCTTTGAAATTGCGCCGATAAGTGTCAAATCTATGAGATCAAAAATTAAGCCGGTTTCAGGCGCTCAAGAAAAAAGAAACAAAAACAGAAGTTCCAAATGCAGGCTTTCTATAATATTTTCTTAATTTTTATTACTCACAAATAACTGCTACTACATTCTAATGCACATACCTTTTATTTGAGATATTTAGGATTTTTCTTAACTCTTTGAAATTAATAAAATAAGTAATTTTACTACCGCTACTTATTCGTATAATTTTTCAACAAATTATTTAAACGATCTCATTTTCAGTGCAAACACAATTTTCTACTCAATCTAAGATCAACTAACAGCCACGATCGCCTCGAAGTCTGCCCCTTACATAACTGCACTTACTGTGTACAAACGTCAAACGTTAACAAACAGGTAAGTGGGCACATATGTATGTATGTATGCAAGTATGTTTATTTGAACTTGCTTTTTATTGTAACATTTATCGCATGACTATGCATATTTAGTGATTAGCCAGTGTATTCTAGTGTCGATCAATATGGAAGAGTCCAACTCACGAGATTTTTACGTATATACCTACGCAAAGAAATAAAGGGTGTTGGAAAAAATTAGAGTAATTCAGAATATAATATTTTGTCCGAAGAAGTCATTCAGAATATAATTTTTTGTGNGTGTACAAACGTCAAACGTTAACAAACAGGTAAGTGGGCACATATGTATGAATGTATGCAAGTATGTTTATTTGAACTTGCTTTTTATTGTAACATTTATCGCATGACTATGCATATTTAGTGGTTAGCCAGTGTATACTAGTATCGATCAACGTGGAAGAGTTCGAATCACGAGATTTTTTCATATATACGCAAATAAATAAAGGGTGTTGGAAAAAATTTGAGTAATTCAGAATACAATATTTTGTCCGAAGAAGTAATTCAGAATATAATTTTTTGTCTGAACTAAATCCGCAAAATAACGTGTGCAGAAAATGTGGTTACTGCAGAAGGTGTATGTATATTCAACACTCCAGGCGCCGTTAGAGACACACTCTGATCATTCCTCCTATAGTTATACTCTTGTGGTCAGTTGATTAAGTCATGTGACATTTTGACTAGGTTTGGCTATTTTTTTNTTTTTTTTTATAAAAGTCTAGCACTTTACCTAACCAGTGCCACATAAATCCACATTTCAAACTTCGTACAAAAATTATGAAAATTGAACAAACTTAACAGCCAGTTTTACCATCAATTTAAATGGAAAATTATTTTTATTTTTCTGTTGATTTCCATATAAAATTCAAAAAATTTAATTTTTCACTTAAATTGCTTTCGTGAATTTGGCTGTAACAATTGCACCTACAAATTTTAAACTTTTTATTCGGAATTTTTAGAAAAATGTTGGGTAACAGAGGTTGGTGGGATGGTTTTCTTGTAAATTTTCCACGTGGCATAGCCCCCTTTATTTAACATTATTATTAATAGGCCTCTGACTTAGCTAAATCTTCTTTTCGAACCCCTAAAGAGTCACTTCAACCTAACGTTATTTTTAAAGTTAAACGCTTTGAAGCATCGTTCAGATTTTGGATGGCGACGAAAGTCGTTCTCCAAGGGATATATTTAAGCCTGTTCACAAAATCTGCAGTTCATCTTCACAAATATGATACCTGACCCTGCAAACTGTGAGAGTTTTATAACCTTCACAGCTAAGACTAAGCAGTAGCTCAGAGGCTCCACGTGAGGATGTTAAAAATTCCTTGGATTGCCGTTTAACCTTTGACATACGCCAGTGACCGCCAACCTTTGGATGGACCACAGAAAGGCATGTATATATGTCGCGATCGAGAACCCACCACAAAGTAACTTTGTATCGGATTCCAAGTTTCTGTAATACAATTCCGCGGCTATCTTTCAGATATGACACTATTTTGCATAAATCGAAAGCACTTAATAAGAAACTTATAGGGAGGGGCCTGTTGGTTCTTCCATAAAAATGTTGGCGTTCACAAATTTCAATTGCGAACACTTCCCCTTGAAGTGCGGTTGTGTTTGTGCCCATTGACACACTTTACTGTAACCTTAGTCTTGATATTCCGTCTCCAGCATTTCTATCATCAGGTTTGGATCAAATATTGTACCAAATTTGGCATCCTTCGCTAATCGTTGTGATAAATAATAATAAAGAAAAGAGGAAATAACAAAAAGAGGACGCGCAGTATACCAATTCATTTTCTTTTAACAATTTGACCTGAAAAGTTTAGCTCGTAAAACATTAGCTGTATGATCAGCACAACTCATTATTTTAACGCTTACTAATGAAAATTACAAAAATTCCCAGGATTAAAAATAAAAGTGGACAAATAGATTTCTGAAAACCTCATAGATCCATAATAAGAAGGAATAAAGCAGTGTAAAGAAACATTTTCAAGTTTTAATATCTTTTGTAAACGGCGTTATCATCCTTGACCGAACAATTCTGAAATGAAATAAATTTAGGCACCCTGTATTCGCTCATGTGCGAGCAAGTGAAATGGAAATTCTAACTTATTAGCTACATATTGCTCTCAGTGAACCAATAAACCCAGGTCCGCACAAAAAAATAACTAATGGAAATTAAAAAATAAACCCATCGAAAGATCACAGATCGTTTGATGTCGATCACCGGCAATGATTTTCATTTTCAGGTGTCATCATCAACACGTTTTCCCTTGTTCTTTTCAAGCCCGCATATGTACATTTTCTTGTAGCTGGTGCATTTCGACAAATCTTCTGCTTTCTTTTAATCTTTCCAGCCTTTTACTGTTGTTGTGCGCTGCTCATTGTCGCCCAACAAGCGCTTAATATCGAGATCGTTATCAAAGCGACGATATTTTGTAATACATATTTCTATTTATAACTAACTTTGAACTAAAGTTATATGTATGCTGTGGGTTGTGAACGCTTACGCCTTCTAGATATACATATATACATCTAGGAGTACTAGAGAGATGCGTAGAACGCTCACTCACACGTTCGCTCGTTCGCTAAGACGATCAAAGCGAAAATGCCGCTAAATAAAAATCGGCCTGTTGATTTGAGCTCAACAAATGATTTGATGATGATTTTCAAATTATCAAATAAATGATCTGTAATTTTTGGTAATCTTTTCAACCTGTACATCTACGAGTATGCGGGTATGTGTAGACAAAAATTGAAAGCCGATCAATGTTTTCGGCGGCAAATCTTAGTCGATGAGTAGACGAAAATTCAATGGCCTACAAGCGAGTATAGCAAGTGGTTTTGTTTGTGTTTTTTTTGGCGTTAACTAACTGACCTCGTAGCAGCAGTTGGCTGGGCTGCGCGGCAGGGTGACTAACTGTCAACTGTATATTAGGTAGCTAGCCTCATTACAGGCGGCATTTCTTTTAGTTTGATTTTTTCGAAATTTTAGAAATGACTGCCTCTACTTAGTATCAGCTAATTTGTCGCTAATATCACACTAGAGCCGTAGTGAAATTTGTTCGTCAAATTCTGTTAATTGGGCCGTAAGCTGTTTGATGGTTAGTTAAATGCCGCTTGGCGCTTTCTTCTTTGTTGTTTCGAATTTAATTGATTTTTTCTTATGCGCTTATACATTTGTTATGGCCACTTTGCATTTTGTTAGGTCAATTTTCTTTCTATTTTTGTTTTTCTTTTCAAATATAAATTCTACCTTTCTACTACCACTTACCACCTAATATGCCGTGTATACTATAATCCTTGCGTCCGTCTTCACTCGTACGATCATTACCTCGTAAAAGGCGACTGATGGACGATGTGGATGGTGGATCCGTGAAGCCCTCCTAGAATGGTAAAGGGAAAGTATTAGCTACTTAGCTACAATGTTTGTATTTAAATATGTAAGCTATTTTCTTGTTAAAACTAGTACGTATGCTAATATAGATATTAAAATAAGTAGGTTTTTTTTATATGTATGTCAAGCATTCCATAGCACATAAGAAAAATAGCTAAAGGAGACAATTTTTTGTCTAGAAATTTCAGCTTTCTGATTTTAATATTTGCCTTTCACTTCAGAGAACTGTAGTCAAGTAAGTTTGTCGTATTGGGTCATATGACAAGTCTCAGCTATCAGCAAATTTTTGTTTGAAGTTATTCCTGTTCAAATAGATAGTATATGTATGTAAATACTAGGGCGGGTCAAGTCAAAGTCACATCGCAATTATGGTTATTTGGGTCATTTCAAGCATTTTTACTCAAGAAACCATAGATCTAAAATAAATTTCGAGCCACCGATTTTTTCTATCAAGTTTTTTTTTTCAAAAAGTGGCGCACCTGTTGAAACAGCTGTATTGAAAACTAGCCAAAATATGTATCTGGGGGTTTTTGGGGTCAAGGAATCCATTTCTGGCAATAAATTTTTCTTTGGAGGGCTGCCAGGCGGCGCTTCCGTACTTTTTTTTTGGATTTTAACGCCTTTTTTTCCGAAAATTCAATTCCCAGAGAAGACTGGGATGCCGAACTTCCAGTAGTAGAGGAGGGTATATCCAACTACACTGATGGTTCAACGGAGTCCACTCGAACGACCTGCCGATCAACCGGTTCGATAGCGAACCCCTGCAATGTCTTCCAAGCGGAGATCTACACTATAGAGAGGATGGATAGTATTTTATTTAGTGGCAGAGTCCCGGAAGACAAAACCACTATTTTTTCCGACAGTCAGGCAGCACTGAATAGGATAGCAATAGGATCTAAAACAGGGAAATCGGGGAATTATATGGAAATGTCCCACCACGCTGGCGTCAATGAGCCGTATCAATGTCACTCTATGCTGGGTCCCTGAACAAAGTAAAATTGAGGAGAATTAGTGAGATGGCCAGATGCGGATCAGCGATTCCAATAGAAGAAGCGGATAGCTCCATAATCCACCGTTTAGCGACCACGTTAGGAAAATTGATGAATTGAAATGGAAAGACCGTGAGATCACAAGATGATTATGGCCGCGGCTTAGCAGGAAAAAGACAAGGGGCATACTCAAACTCAATAGATATGCAGTAAGAGTCCTTACCGGCGTTATCACAGGACACTGTGCTATATTACCATTGCTTCAATATGATATGGATGAAGAAGAGTCAAATGACTATTTTCTGTGTCGATTTGCAGGTCTACCGACGACTCAAGCACTTGGGTTCACGCTTCTTAAACAGTCTAGGCGAGGTAGCGGAGGTGGAACTGTTAGATCTCCTCGGCCTCAGGGACAGTAATTGGTTGAGTACAATAATGACTGGAAGCTACTCTTTCGATTATAGGTGCGTGTCTCCTACTGACCCTAACTTAAAGAGGGCACTCAGAGTGGACAATTCTGTCTCCAAGTGAAATTACAGAATATTCCTCATACGCCGTGCTAGCCTAACCTAACCTTGGTTCGTTGTTTTTTTCCAGAAAAAGCAGGGATAAATCCATGAAAAAGTATACCAAAATTATGAGAAATTCGAGATGAGTCGATTCAGCCATGTCCGCCTGTCTGTCTGTCTGTCTGCTCGTCCATTTGTCTATCCATGCGAACGAAATTTGGTAAGTGGGTGGCTTTTTATAGTGTATTTATTATTTATCGGAACCGGCAATATCGCTCCCATATAACAGATTGTTCAAATATAAAATTTTGCGTTGTACCTCCTTCAAAAGAGCAGCTAGGAACATGACATTTCTCACTATCTTCGCTTGTTATCCATAGTGAAAATGAAAAAGATCGGACGACTATAACCCATAGCTCCAATACAACCGATTATTTACGTTTAAACCGATTCATTTATTCAGATAAAACCGCGCAATTTCCTATACAAATGATTGTTCAGATATAAGTTTCTGGGATAAAATAGTTTTTTTCCCTTATTTTCTTATCATAAATGAGAAGTTCACAGTTTAAAT